GGGTCTTCGTTCAGCCCAAACGGCAGAACGCATCCCCAAGGGGTCCCATACGTTCGGGCGTTCGGCCAGTCCCAAACGCCGGTTACCCTGTATATATATATATATATATACATATATATATATATATATATATATATATATACATATATATATATATATATATATATATATCGTCACAAACAGAATATATATGTTCAAACAGAGCTGCCCTATAACCCGTTGACAGGGAGGAAAAAAAGGATATATCTTTTGTTGTCCACAAAACAATCTCAATAAATAAATAAAAAACCCACCCATTTCATATTTCTTTTATTATGTTTTCCTGAGTTGCCAGGCCGAACGTATAGAGACCCCTAAGCTGACCCCCGAATGTTCGGGCGTTCAGGTCCCCGTACGGGGGCCGAACGTGATGGGGTTCAGACCCCACAAAAACCTGTTTTGGCACCTAATTATTATTATTTGTTTCTGAATTAAATTTTGTTTTTGTAAGTTCTTTGTGATGTTAGGTATCTCCCTCTTAATTTTGAAGCTATTCTGTTTAGCCAAAACAAAATGAAAAATCAGCAAAGATGGTGGTGTCGAAACTTGCTTGCCCACTCACTAGTTTGTTTTTTCTCTTTTTTCACTTTTTATTTTTTCCTTTATTTCGGGGCATGAAAAAAATTATTACTTTTCCAAAATTCATTTGTCTATTCTCTATTACGTAACTTCATGTAAGATACACATAAATGTTCACGGCATTTATCACAACCAAAATAAATGAAAAATCACCAAAGATGGCGGTGTCAAAAACGTGCTCGCCCGCTCAATAATTTCATTCTCGTTTTATTTTTTCTCATTTTCATTATTATTATTTATTTTTAGTATTTGATTTTTATTTCAAATTTGGTAAAGAATTTGGATGTTACATTGAGGCAAATGTTGTTCAGTTTATTCTTCTGCATACCATATTTTTGTTTCAGATATTTTGGAATTTGTTATTTTCTTTTTTTTTCTTTTTTTTTTTTGGGCCAAGTTTGGGCAAACGGCCGAACGCATCGAGAGGGAGTGCCGAAAGTTCGAGCATTCCGGTTCAGGCGTTCGGCCTGTCCCGAACGCCGGCAACCCTGATGTTTTTGATTTTTTTTTAAATATAGCATAACATCAAAAAATAATAAATAAAATAAAGTGTTATAGAGCTCTAAAAGATCTATGACCCTATATTTTTAGGTTAAACTTTGTGTTTCGCTAGATTTTTCCAGAGAAAAAATATATTCCCGGGCCACGGTGAACCGGGATAAACGGGCAGCTCAACACCGTTTTACCGCAGTTTCGACGACCGGTCAAAGATTCTATGCGGGACCCTAATTGGAATAACTTCCAGCTACTCGGGACTGGGGTGGGAATTTGGGAAAGACACGGAAAAAGAGGGGGACAGATATGGAGACAAACGAGATACAAAAATGGGCACAGACTGACCCGCAAACTCAAAGAAAATGCTAACATTGCCAACGGATCACGGAAGAGAAATTAGTTGTTGTTGAAAGACAGCCAGACAGAAATTCAGCCCTGCAGTCGTACCGCCTGCGTACAAAGACTCTTGCACAGAGGCCAACAGAAAAAGAAAGGTACAGACACTGCGATAGACTGAAGGGACGTATACAGATTGAACAGACCAGCAAAGATTACATAACACCTCGAATTCCATCCATGAATTCACAGAACCTAAGAGTGAGTTATATGCCACAAAACCCAAGAGTGCGTTACACGCCACAAAATCCAAGGGAGTTATACACCACAAAACCCAAAAGTGAGTTATACACCAGTAAAGACACAAAACCCAAGAGTGAAACTGTCCACTGTGAGCTTTGCTGAGCATTAGAGTCAGATCCCACCTCTATTCTTTTTGGAAAGACACGAAAAAGAACGGTTTTGTAGGGCCCGTTCCGGCCGTACCGTAAAAGAGAAATGGGATCCCACCAGTCCACGATATTCGGTTCTTTTCCAGGATTTGCATCGGAAGTGTATGGGCGTGACAAGAGATGTACTTCCCGAAGTCGGTCCACCCGGACAATTAGTCGGGTGTTGTGGCCGGGCGGACGTTCCAAGTACCTCTTGCGGACATGTACAAAAAAAAAAAGAAAAGAAAAGGAAAGCCCCGCCTTCTTTTTCGGGGAAAAGAGGGGGTCGTCTTCCTTTGCGTTTTCAAAAGAATTTTCTGGCCTGCAAACGCGGCCGGCTCAACAGGTCCACTTCCATTTCCACATCCGCGAGAAAAGAGGGCCCTCTCCGCCTCACGCGGAAAGAGGTGGGATCCCAAAAAAGGCCGTTTCTCGCCAAAAAAAATAGAGGTGGGATCAGCCTCTTAGAATCAGAAATAACGTATACACGAAATCTATGGAGAAAATTCAAAAAATTGAAACGGATGAAAATACAAAATGAACCTAGTCACTTCCTTCCATTTCCAACAATCTAAAAGCTATATGAAAGGAGGACAAGTCTGACTCAATCAACCAACCAGCGTGACGAAAGCCATGAGCAACGCCCCATAAAGCCAATTCCTTGAGCACAGTAATTTACAATCGAGACAATTGTATGTTTTGCTTTCATGTTCATCCACGCAATTGCGCTGAAAATTCATGAAAACGTCATGTCAATGATCCGAAATAACTTGTGTACCTCTCCCCACCCTGTCAGTGAAGAACTGCTCTATCTTCCTATTCATGTCTTCTTCCCAACCATATCCTACAGAGAAAAAAACGCTGCATGAAACACATCGGATTCCCCACCATATATCCTACGGAGAAAACAGAAGTCGCAAACCTTTGCCCAAAAACAATGCCATGAAATTGTCAACGATCTGGACTAACAACTCGCGTAACTCCTTCCCCCYTGTCAGTGAACACCTGATCTATTTTCCAACTCRTCACTCGTGTCTTCCTAACTAGATCCTACAGAGCAAGCAAAACTGGGTCGAACACATACCCGCTATAAACTATTCAAACACATCGATTCCCCTTTCCTCGCTCCATTTCTAATTATTGTCTTCCTAAGCGTATCCTCTGGAGAGCAAGTAAAATGTGTGATCATATCCTGTGTCCTCTGGCGGTGACACAGCTCACCTACCACCATACCAACTGGCCCTCACTGTGGCCATCAACTGTAATAACCCTAAAACGGGCACCAGCCATCTGG